GAGAGCCTAAGTGGGCGGGGTCTGTCCTTTAAAGGGGTCCTTTGCACCTGTGTGCAGACTATGCAACCATGGAACCCTGGGCTGACCAGAGTGCTGCCTGAGAGCATTCTGCCAGGTAACAGGGGCAGACCAGCATAATGCCTGAGTCCTTACACTTATGGGTGTCTTCCTTCCTTCCTTCCTTCCTTCCTTCCTTCCTTCCTTCCTTCCTTCCTTCCTTCCTTCCTTCCCTCCCTCCCTTCCTCCCTCCCTCCCTCCCTCCCTCCTTCCTTCCTTCTTTCTTGGCTGTCCTGGAACTCGATCTGTAGACCAGGCTGGCCTTGAAGCCACAGAACTCCACCTGTTTCTGCCTCCCAAGTACTGGGATTAAAGGCGAGTGTCACCACTGCTTGGCAGGTGTGTTTCTTAGGGTATAAAGTTTTTTTTCTGTTTTTTTCGTTTTTTTCCTCTTATTTTGTTGTTTGGGTTTTTGAGACAAAATCTTACTTTATAGACCATACTGACCTTGAACTCAAGAGATCTGCCTGTCTCTGCTTCCCAGATGTTAGGATTAAAGGTATACCCCTTATTGTTTGGTGTTTTGCTTGTTGTTGTTTGGAACAGGATCTCACGTGTTAGGCCAGGCTGTCCTAGAACTTTCTCATGGCTTACTGAGTTTTGAGATTTATTGGCATGATTCACCATATTCAGCTAAGATACGATTTTCTTAACTGCCGTGTACATATATCTATAGTTGGTAGAACAATGGTCCCTGAAAGGTATCCATCTCCTAATGTTCTGGAATGTGTAGAAATGTGACCTTTTATATCAAAAGATCCCATGGAGATATGACAAACTTTTGTTTTCTTTTGTTTTGTTTTGTTTTTTTTTTTTTTTTTTTGGTTTTTCGAGACAGGGTTTCTCTGTGGCTTTGGAGGCTGTCCTGGAACTCACTTTGTAGACCAGGCTGGCCTCGAACTCACAGAGATCCACCTGCCTCTGCCTCGTGAGTGCTGGGATTAAAGGTGTGCGCCACCAACGCCCAGCCTTTGTTTTCTTTTTTGAGGCAGGATTTCTCCGTGTAGCACTGGCTGTCCTGGAACTGGCTCTGTAGACCAGTCTGGCCTCAGACTCAGAGATGCAACTGCCTCTGCCTCCTGAGTGCTGGGAGTAAAGGTGTGTGCCACCACTGCCTGGCTTGGCAAATCAATAATCTTGAGATGGGAAGGTGATCCTGGATGTCCAAGGTGACCCTGATGCATCACAATGTCTAGTCTGAGGGATGTTTGTGTATGTCTTTGGTGGTCTGCCAGTACTCCAAAGATGCCCACTTGCTAATCCCTGGAACCAGCAGTTATAATAACATGGAAAGGGGGGCTTGCAGGTATGATTAAGCTAAGCATCCTGGGAGGGGGATATAATCCTAGGTTACCTGGGTGGTCCAATATGAATACAAATGTTATAAGAGGAAGGCATGAATGTATCAGGAGATGGTCAGTAACCTAAGTGAGAAAAGATAAGCAGGGATCATTTGGGCAGATAGAAGTAGGTAGATAAAGAGACAGAGGCAGAGAAAAGGGATTGGAGAGGAAATAGAGATTTGAAGGTGAAATGCTGCTGCCTCTGACGATGGAGGATAAGGCAGTGGTGGGGGTGTGGACACTTTATGGGAACTGGATTAACACCAGAGGAAAGTCTTACTAAGGCCTTGACTTTGACATTGGAACACTCCACCTTGGGCTTCTTGCCTATAGAAATATCAATTAATAAATATTTGTTGTTATTGTTATTTTGCAAAAAGACTATGGTGGGTTTTTTTCCAGCATCAGTAAAACTGTCAGTGTCCCAGGTTATGCCATGCCTATCTGTTATCAGTGTACCTCTCTGGATGTGTGTGATGATCTGTCATCTGTGCATAGGTGATGAGCCAGAGGATAGTGTGCCTGATCTATTGGTGGTGTAGGTCCCAGACTTTGTGCCCTGAGCCATTTTATGGGTGCTATATGGCATATGACAGACGTTCCCTTGTCTGGTATTTTGCATACATGTCCTAGCACATTAGTTTTCTAACCCTTGAGGTGTGTATTCCAGAATGTAAGAATTCTGACATCCTTGTGGTTTTGTGGGGATGTTTTATTTTGCTTAAGTCCTCGATCTGTTTCTGTGTTCATGTTCCAGAATAGGAAGCTCCTTATCCCTGTGCCACGTTGTAAACTTCAGCATTATCCTAGGGTCCTTGAAAGAGAGAGGCAGAGCACCAGGGTGACATCAAATGCAAAGGAGGGGAAAGATGGGAGAAAAATCTAAAGATGAAAATGATATGTTGCTGTCTTTGAAGATAGACAGAGGGGCCAAAGCCAAGGAATATAATCCTCTATACCAAGAAGGCCAGGAAAAAAAACTGCCCTTGGGCCTCTGGCAGAAACAGAGCCCTGATGATACTTGGACTTTTGTTCATTCATGCTGGCTTTGGACTGTCAGAAGGTACGGTAATTCATGTTGTTTTGTGACTCTTAGGATTAGGTCTTCTTATTGCAGCAATAGGAAATGAATACGCTGTCCTAGGTTGCAGTGTCTCTACATGATTACTAGTGGACATCTGAGGGTGTGAACTCAGTGATGTGTTTGTGTTTCCAGTGGTGAAGCTCTGCTCTTTGGGTGTGTACATGATGAACCAGAGTGAAAGGTTTCTGAATGTTTGGTGGCTGTCTGACAATTTGTGATCTCTAATCCTATTATGTAATGCTTCTAAGCTGAGTTGAGTTATATGTGTTTGGGGGTAATATTACAGCAGATGTGTTATTTGAAATTTGGAGACTATGTCCAATTTGTTTAGTCTCATTTAGGGGGCACTATTCCTGCCTTTCTTTCTCTCTCTCTGTTTCTTTTCCTTTGTTCCTCCCTCCCTCCCTTTCCTTCCTTCCTTCCTTTCTTCCTTCCTTCCTTCCTTCCTTCCTTCTTTCAGTTTTTGTCTAGACAAGATTTCTCTGTGTAGTTTTGGAGCCTGTCCTGGAACTCGCTCTGTAGACCAGGCTGGCCTCGAACTCACAGAGATCCTCTTGCCTCTGCCTCCCAAGTGTGGGGATTAAAGGTGTGCACCACCACCTCCTGGCTAAGGGATACTGTTTCTTTTTATTTGTTTTTTCCAGACAGGGTTTCTCTGTATTGTTTTGGAGCCAGCCTGGAACTCACTCTGTAGACCAGGCTGGCCTCAAACTCACAGGATCCTCCTGCCTCTGCCTCCTGAGTCCTGGGATCAAAGGTGTGCACTTCCAATGCCCAGCTTGGGGCCACTATTTCTAATGACGCATACCTTGACATACCTGGTTGCACGTGTACCAGGATGTTAGCTGTCGGACCCATTCAAACTTGTGCTGGGATTAACGACGTGTACCACCACTCTCTGGCCCCTTGGAGGTGTTCATATGACTGTTATTTGTTGAATGAATCCCTGGATGTGAACTTTTTTGATCTGCTTATTTTGCATCTCACACACACACACACACACACACACACACACACACACACACACACACACACACGCAAGTGCCCTAGCCTAGCACCAGTTTGGTCTGTGAGTTCTTTAGGGTTTGGAGTGTATCTCTAAGTACATGTGATCTGTTAACTCATATGTCTGTATCACACATATGCAGGTGGATGTGTTCAGGCTGTGGAGTCATTAGGTCTTCCTGATTTGTTTACTTTGATTTGAAGAGTTTCAGATCATTCTGAGACTGGGAGTACATCTTAGAATGCAAGATCTTTGTTTTGTTCTTAAAGATTTGTTTTATGGGGTACTGGCTACTCTTCTAGAGGACCCCGGTTGCCAGCACCCACATGGCAGCTCACAACCATCTGTAACTTCAGTTCCAGGAGATCTGACCCCTTCTTCTGACCTCTGTGGGAAGTGCATGTATGTGGTACACAGACATTAACATACAGGCAAACACTGATACACATCAAATAACAAAACTAAATTCAAATACTTCTGTGAGTCTTGCCTGCATGTCCACAGGTGCTGGAAGAGACCAAAAGAAGACGTAGAATCTGGAAGTGGAGTTACAGGTGACTGTGAGCTGCCATGTCAGGGCATGTCAGGCTGGGAACTGAACTAAAGTCCTCTGTTACGAGCAGCATATGCGACTGGGTGGTGGTGGCACACACCTTTAATCTCAGCACCTGGCAGAGGCAGGTGGATCTCAGTGAGTTCAAGGCCAGCTTCTCCAGAGCGAGTTCCAGGACAGCCAAGACTGTTTCATAGAGAAACCCTGTTTTGAAAAACCAAAAGGAGAAAAAAAAGAAAAAGGAAAACAAGGAGCAGCATGTGCTCTTAACCCACTGAGCCATTTCTCCAGCTACTCTCATCTTCTCATGGCTGCACGTTAGATCTCCCAGCTACATCTATTTCTGGATCTTTTTCTTGCATGTGAGGTCTGTGGCTTGATTATGGATATTTACTGCAGGATTTGAAATCTCTGGTTTGTAGGTATCCATCTCAGGTTGCAAGGACTTTTGTTTTTTGTTTTTGTTTTTATTTGCTAGGTTTCTGGGTGTATATCCTGCCTATAAGATTTCAACCTGTTTGTCTTTCCATGTTGTAAGATTTGAGGGCACTGGTCTCTCTTGTTTTGAAACTCTCTTTTCTCCGAGTTCCTAGTCAGAATTATAGTGAATGTCTGATCTTTGTGTGAATTTGTCTAGGGGATTAGGTCTGTTCAGTTGTGTTATATACCCTTTTTTTTGTTTTGTTTTGTTTTTTTGTTTGTTTGAGACAGGCTTTCTCTGTGGCTTTGGAGGCTGTCCTGGAACTAGCTCTTGTAGACCAGTCTGGTCTTGAACTCACAGAGATCTTCCTGCCTCTGCCTCCTGAGTGCTGGGATCAAAGGTGTGAGCCACCAACGTCCAGCTTATGTGCCTGTTTTAAGGACCTGACTTGCTTATGGATTTATGTCTAATCGTGTGTGTGTGTGTGTGTGTGTGTGTGTGTGTGTGTGTGTGTGTGTGTGTGTAGAGAGAGAGAGAGAGAGAGAGAGAGAGAGAGAGACAGACAGACAGACAGACAGACAGACAGACAGACAGACAGACAGACACTTGGAGGATTGATGTTGATGTGCTTGGGGGTAAATTTCCTGGGCTCTGGCATTCCTGATGTCTTTCTTCATGCTATCCTAACCGTGTCAGTTAGCATAGCTGCAGGTTCCAGAGATTGGATCCAGGGTGATCCATGCATCTGTCTTAGAGTCCTCCTTGTTACCTAGCTTCTCTGGAGCAGTGCATTGTAGCCTGGCTATCCTTTGCTTTACATCTAATATGCACTTATGAGTGGGTATACATCATTTTTGTCTTTCTGTATGACTCCCAGAGACATACATACACAAACAGCTCACAGACATCTCAGGAAACAATGAACTTCCCAGTCAGACACTTCCTACTCACACACATACAAAAAGAGCACACAGAAACACACTCGGACATATACCAAAACATCCTTAGAGTTGTCAATCACTTGGAACTAAACTCACATAGCCCCTGCAGAAGAACAGAGACATAATGAGTAGCACGCACAATCCCTGGAACATGCAGCTCTGCTAACTGACATGGTAAGGGGGCTTTGTAGATATGGTTAAGTATCCTGAGGGGAAAATCCTAGAATATCTGGGTGGTCCAACATAATCCGAAGTGTCACTATATGAGGGAAGCATGAAAGCAAGGATCAGAGAAGTCACATAGTGATGAAAGCAGAACAAGAGAAGGTAACATGTCAGAGAGCTAGAGACAGAAATAAATGGGTACGGAGAGATGGAGACAAGAGGAGGGTGCTAAAGGAGAGAAGTTAGTGGATGATGAAATGTGGCTGTCTTCAAAGGTGGAGGAGGAAGGAGCAGTAAGGCACAGAACATGGGCCTCCTCCTGGGGTGGAATGTTCAAGTTGACTTGAAAAAGCGAAATTACAGTTTTTCATACCTATATCCACACAAGACCATTTGATGTATTTGGTTTTCAAACTTATTTTTGATGGATGAGACTGGGTCTTGCTATGTTGCCAAGTCTGGCCTCAAATTCCTGAGCTCAAGTAATCTCACTGCCTACACTTTAATTTCAATCATACTTACTAAAACTTGTCCGTCTTCTGAAGAAATATAAATTTGTGTTGTTTTACAACAAAAAAAGTGATGGTTTGTTTCTGCATACACACCATTCTAGGTTAAGGTATGTCTGTCTGACTCCTGGTACATATCCCTGGTTGGGAGCTCCATGATATGCATGTGTCTGATGATGGCAATCTCTCACCTCTAGGTTGGAATATGAAGTGATAAATGAACTCTCCGACCTCCCAATACAGAATATTGGGTCTAGGAATTGTTTCTCGTATTCCTGGCCCCAGATGTCTCTAACAAATAAAAAAAATGTAGAAACATCAGATACTTCATATACCAGGTAATCACTAACACTCTGGAACATAAACCAACAAGTGTATCAGAGACTTGAAAGTCTGTGACTGCATTTCAGAGTTAAAAGACTCTATTCTCTCACTTTTTTTGTTGTTTTTTTTCGAGACAGGGTTTCTCTGTATTGTTTTGGAGCCTATCCTGGAACTCACTCGGTAGACCAGGCTGGTCTCGAACTCACAGTGATCCGCCTGTCTCTGCCTTCCGAGTGCTAGGATTAAAGGCATGCACCACCATGTGTCACAGGGGGTGAGATCCGATCCCTAAGTAGTTTGTTAGTGTTATGTCTAGCTGTGAAGCCTCAAATGGTGTATGTTACCATTTGAAGTTATCTGAATTATTTGATGATCTATATCCAGTATGGTCTCTGAATTATATTTTGAAGTCTGTGTCCTAAGTCTTGGGATTTCTGAATCCCAGGTCATTTTGAGGGTAATAATCTGCAATACATGGATGAGTTTCACTGAGCTATTGGGATGGCTACACTTAAATTGAGGTCTCTTAAGCTGTTTGATCACCAGTGTCCTGGATATGTGGCCCAAGTTTGTTGGTTCCAGAGCCACTGACCATTCAGGATATGTTGCCAGGTGTACCATCTATGTCTTTTGGGTGGCCTCAGTCCCATAGTGTGATATACTTGACCTATTAGGGATTTTTGAGCTTCTATGGGTAAGTAGGCAGCAAACGGTGTGTTTTCTAGGCTGTTTGCAGTTTTATATTTAACAAGTAAAATGTACTAATTCTGTGGTAGTCTCTGGGGTGGGTTTGACTGGTTTATCTCTCAGCTACTTAAAAACCTCTTTAAGTGAGATACTACATTTTCATATGAGGATTCTTTGTATTTGTGCTTTGTAATCTAGGGCATTCCTTAGAAGCTTTGGTTTGGTTGGCTTGGTTTTCCAAGGCAGGGTTTCTCCGTGCCAACAGCCCTGGCTGTCCTAGAACTTGCTTTGTAGACCAGGCAGGCTTCAAACTTAGAAATTTACCTGCCTCTGCCACCCTAGTGTTGGGACTAACATGTGCTACCGCCCCCAACCCCACCCCCCTTGAAATTTTGCACCAATATCCCAGTGAACAAACCTTTTGTGATTATATGGATTATGTCTTGATTTTTTTTTTCTGGGCAGTTTTAGGATCTGTTTCTGGCACTTGATTTCTTTGTACTGTTCTCCATTTACCGTGTTAAACCTCGTACATGCTTTACTTCATGTCCCAGAGTGTAAGCTTACAACTCCCTGTAACCCTTACTGTTGGGTTGTTTCCAAGTAAAACACTTCCTTCTATTGGGGGAGTCTTGGTCCCAGAATATGGAATCTATGGAGATCAGTTTCTAGGGATTGAGGTTCCTGAGCAGTTTGAAACTCTTTCCCAAGTCTCTGGAGTGTTTAAGGATCTGTGTCCTGGGATTATAGTTTGTCAACTCATATTTTCACATTGTATGCATGCCATGTCAGGGTCCACTGCCCATGGGTTTAAGTTTTGGGAGTTTGTGCCCCCTATCAAGACAGATACCTTAGCTGCTATGCTGGCTTATGTGACTGTGAAGGCTTCTGAAATCTAGGTTGTCAAGTCCTTGATATGTATATACACTTTCTCACAGAAGACAGAAATTCTGTTTGAGGACTAAATCCAGGCAGTTAGGGTCTTGGAGTTGTTAGGGAATCAGACAGCAACAAAGCTTATACACTGTCCAGGTGTAAGAGCTATGGTGCCTATATATCTGGACGTGAGTATCATACAGTAGATATGAGGCTATTTGAGATTGTCACCTATGTAACAGACGATTTGATCAAAACCAAAAAGCACTGATAACATTCAGCTTGAAGAATGATAAAAAGAAGCATGTGAGGCAGGTGTTTAGCATATATAGATGCTCAATAAATATTTGCAGAAAATGGTTCTCTGGGACATATTTTCTTTTCAAATGTATCAGGTAGGCTTTAAGTTGAAAACTTTAGAACAGTAAGGGCACAGCTTGAATTTTAGCACATTTATCTCCATTGCATTTACTTCCTCAGCTAGTTATTTCTGTTTGTAGCAACTAATAGTGATGAATTGATTTAGTCAGGGCTGCACTGCTTGCTCTTACATGCATTTTAAAAGTGGAAGTATGCAGCAAGTTTACTTTAGACCACTTTGTAGGGACCCCAAACAGGAAGTTCACAGTTAGACGCTTTAACCTTCTAGACTGCGTTATAGGGCAGCCATTGCTCCTAGCTTGATATTTCCTAGTTATCAAGACCTCAATCCCTCATATCTCAGCTTATTGACTCAACAAGGCAATTTATTGATGCGCACTCCAGGCTGGGGAGGGCTAAAGGGTATACAAGAGAACCAGATTCAGTCCATGCCTGAAGGTCAGCCTGGGGAGTGTGGGCAGGATACACAGACAGACACACACACAGATCTGGTAGCGGGGTGCAGTCTCACACAGGGGCACTCTGGGCACAGGAAGATGGGGAAAGCTTCCTGAAGGAAATGGGGAGAGCAGGGGGCAGGCAAGGTGGCCATCAGAATCTTTGCCTTTTGTACATTTCTAGGCAGTTAACTTTTGAGATGTGGACCCAGGTGAATACTTGAAGCTGGCAAGTAAAGGGGGTGTGGCTCTCATTTCATCATATTATTATTACCTCCCCAACCATTTTTGGCCTAGACATTACATTCTGCCATACGGGCCTTTTCCTGGGCTCCACCTCTGTGGTTTTCAAGGCTTCCCTGAGACAATCCATATGAACCAGGTGCTCTACCCTGTGCCAGGCACCTCATCAGCTTCTAGCCAATGCACATTGTCTTAAGTGCTATCTACTATATCTTGGTTTCAGCTTCTAGTAGTTCCAGTGGTATTGTATGCCAAGGCAGGGTTTTCAGCACATCTAGAACTCTACTCCCTGATGGTAAAACTTCATCTTAACACTCCCGTGCAGCTTTCAGAAAGGTATTCACCCCACCCCTAGTCTGGTAGCACTTAGGCAACTACTTTTCAGACCTACAACTCTGAGCCCCTATGGGTCTTAAGGTCAATACTACCCAGCATCAAAAGCATGATGAGAAGATGCAGCCTTATCCACTGGCCCTAGAGACCCCCTTTTCTTTTATGAGTACAAAGGCTCTGTGGTTGCGAATCCAGCTTGATGTTAGGCTGGTATCTCTGAGCTCTGATGTTTGTCTGGTCGGGGATTGCCTCCTCATACTGTTAGAGCAGTGAAGAGGCCTGCAACAGGTCACATAGGCTCCAAGCAGACGCAGATGCAATTAAAAAATCTTATCTGGGTATACACCTAAATGCTCAGCATGAGGAAAGCTGAGACAGGGGGATTAGGAGTCCAACACCAGCCTGAACTATGAACTATATAGAGCTACAGAGTGCTGTCCAAAAAAAAAAAAAAAAACCCTTTCTGTTCTGGGGCTGAGTTGCTCACCCTTTGGACCTCCATGAGTGAATCCCAACTCCAGGGAACCCTGGTATGAAACATATACTTCTGAAAATGGGGCTGGGAGTTGTAAGTGCAATGCCTGATGGGCCTGGGATAGGGGAAAGGAACAGAGAACGGGCACCCAGAGTCAGTCGTCACCACAGCCCTGACCTGGAGCAGGTGGGGAACAGGTTGGGGCAGATGAGGACAAGTGGAGGCAGACAAGGCTCTGATGGTCATTCTTGACAAGAGGGCAGCAGTAGAGAAGAAGGTGGCTTCAGGCCCCTTCAGTTAGTGTGGTCTCAAACTTCTCAGGGCTAGAAGAGGTATTTTCGGCAAGCTGTTGTCCCACATTTGCATTCAATACGGACCCGTTTCTTGGGGGAGCCAGGGAGCCCAGCCAGGCCAAAGTTGGAGTCCATTCTGGTACTTTCCATGTCCACGGGGTCCACTGTGAAGTCACAGTTGGGGAGGGAGGGAGGGGAATTTGTTAGAAGGCCTGCATGAAGCGTCTAGCTACTACCCCTTATACCAGAAGACCCAGGGAATTTGGGGTTAGGAGCAGGTCTGAGATTGGGAGTTAAGAAAGATCTTTGGGACAGTATTTTGGGATTAGTACTGGAGCACACACTAGAGGAGTTGTTTAGGCCTGGGGTTGAGGGGTGTTTGGGGAGGCAGGTGGCTGACAAGGAACAGGAGAGTTATGTCAGGCAGGGTTCAGGAGTGGAGGGCAACCTGGGCACCCAAAAGGCACCTGAACTCTCTTTGCTCATTCTCTGCCAAGTGTCTCAGAGATGACTGGCTTATCAAGAAGAGGACTGGCTGGAGAGCACAAGGGTATTCAGAGGTTCAGAACAAGGAAGGTGAAAGAGTATTTAGAGTCATGAGGGACAGGGGCAGTTCATTCAAGATGGAACTAAGGTTTGCCTTAACTCTCCTACAAGTCTTGCAAGAAGGTGGAATAAGTCTATCCAAGTTAGAGTTCAGGGGGTAGAAATATGGGAACCCACAAGCCTTGGGCAGGGTCAGGTAGGAGGCTGGGAGTTAGGAAGAACATCTTAAAACTCCAGCAAAAGAGCCAGGCTGCCTTTAATCCCAGCACTTGGGAGGCAGAGGCAGGTGGATCTCTGTGAGTTTGAGGACAGTCTGGTCTGTAGAGCAAGTTCCAAGACAGGCTTCAAAGCTACACAGAGAAACCCTGCCGTGGGTGTGTGTGTGGAGGGGACAGTCCAACAAAAGAATTTCCCTTCGTCCACTGAATGACCCATGTGCCTTGGGGTGGGGCCCTCATATCCCCTGTCACAATGTACCCCTGCCCCTGGGGCCCTTGCCACCCCCACCTTGCATGTTGTAATCAAAGGTGAGCTCCTCGCCTGCCCAGATGGTTCTTGTGGCAAAGAAAGCGATGCGGGGTAGTCGCTCATCAAGGTTGTCTATGAATACGTTGTACACCTGCAGGTTGGGATCACACTGGGCAAGAAAGAACAATGGGAAGGTGAGGAGGGGCCCTGACCTGCCCCTCCCAACCCCCTGCCCGCCTGCTGGAGGCACCCACACTATGGTTAACAAAATGAGAGATGTTGCCATAATAGGCGGCATCCACGGTATATACGTCTTCCACGTAGTCCAGGTCAAAGAGGTAGGTGGCACCCTGGCGGTCGTAGATCTGGCCCCGCCGCTCTGCCTCCTCTGAGGTAATAATCTGGGAAAGGGGGGTAAGATGGTCATGAAGATTCAGGAAAGCCAGCCCCAACTTGCCCCTGACCTGGTCCCTGGGAAGGGAACAGTGAGCAGGGAGGTCTGCCAATCCTCAGAGGTCTACCCACCTCCCACCCCTTCTCCAACCTCTGAAAGGTAGGAGGTATCCTGCGGTGGGGGGGCTGCTAGGTCAGTTAGAGGGAAAGGAAGAGAGGACCTCCACTTTCTGTTCCCAGTGAGATGTCCCAGAACCTCATCTGTATACTTGGGGCAGAACAAGATGGGACAGAGACACAGACACACAGATGGAAAGACCCAGAATACAGGCAAGAAAGTGAGAGCCAGGGTTCAAGGAGACAAGGAGAAACTGACTAACCCTGGGGCAGGACAGAAGAGACATAGGACAAGGTAACAACAAGGGAGTGAGAACCAGTGTAGCCCATGCAGATGGCAAGGACATGGAGGACATGGGAAATTAAGGGGCCCTGGACAGTGGGGACAAGGGCTTGAATGGATGGAAAAGGGACTCAGACAAAAGAGAGTCAGAGACAAAAAACACAAACTCTTAGTATGAAAGATTCGGGTCACAGAAAGAAGATCAAGGCCCTCAGACAAAATCCAAGGCCTTCAGAGAAAATCTTCAGAGCCTGAGAGAAGACCAGAAAGAAGCTGAGGACAAAACCTCATGATAAAATGACAGAGATAAAGAGAATATAAGAGAAAGCCCTAACACTGAACTCTGGTGCCAACACCTGAGGCTGGAAACAGTAGGCACCTCCTCCAACATTTCCTCCCCAGTAGCCCCCATCCTAGTAAACATGAAAGTGCTTTACCATCCCAATTCTGATCTGCTCTTGCCTCTCAAGTGCTGTTGGTGAAATTTTTTTTTACCTTGCCCTCACTTGACTGACAGTCCTCTCCTTGGGACCCACATCCACTCCTCCCCTGGTACTCCCAACTATATATAGAGTCTAGCAATCCCCAAGTGCTGCTTTTTCTGGGTGTCTTACTGTACCAAAGAATGCCATCATCTCAACCCAGGGTACCCTTACTTCTGGCTTTCCTCCATCTGCCTACTCTAAGTGCCCAAACAGAGCACACCCATAACAGATACCTGCTAAGTGCTATTTTTTCCTTCTGTTCTTAGATCCAAGAGACAGTCTTCTAGGTAGTCCCACACTCCCTATCTTCTTCCTTCCCTCTCTTCCTAAAAGACACTGTCCACCTCCTTGATGACACTGGACAGACCTTCCTGGCCCCTTATGCAGCTTAGTGGCCATGCTCCTTTTGTGTTTCAAATCTACCCCCTTCTAGGCATGACTACAGCAAGGAAGGCCACATTAGTGTCTTGTTTGCTGCCTGCCTCTTCTGACATCATCTATGTCCTGTGCCAAGTCCTGATCAACAGTTGCCTCTATAAAACCTAGATTTAGCTCAAAACCACACTTCATATAACCCCCTACTCTAGCTATTCCTGAAGGACCTGACTTCCCCATCTGCAATTTTCTTCTTCATTCATTCAGTGGTCTTTTTTTTGATGGTATAAAATTCAGAACCTTGCATACACTAAGCTACATTCTACCACTGTAATATACACCCTCAGCCCACCAGGTTATTTTTCAGGGTGGTCAGTCTGGTTGGGGAAACTAAGAATCCAGGCCTAGCCCTGACCCTCAGGGGCCACATATGCAACAAAGATGGAATCAGATATTGTTCAGGAAACTCAGGTGGTGGTGTATGTGTGTGTATATGGGGATATGTAAGGGATATGGCCTTAGACTGGAGCTAGCTAAACTTGCTTAGTGCATCGGGGTGGGGTGCAGTGTTAGCACAGGTCTTTAATCCCAGTACTTGGGAGGCAGAGTTAAGTAGATCTCTAAGGCTGAGGTCAGCCTGATCTACAGACTGAGTAGCCAGGGCTACAGAGAAACTCTCTCTCAATAAACAAAAACACAACCCAAATGCCCATAACTCAAGCTCAAAGGAACCACTACCCTCTCCTTCTGGACTACATGAACATCTGTGCATGAGCACGCGTGCACACCCACACACACACACAGACAGACACTTAAATTTTAAAAAATGAGATTCAACTGGTCAGTGATGGCGCACGTCTCTAATCCCAGCACTCAGGAGGCAGAGACAGGCAGATCTCTGAGCTCAAGGCCAGCCTGGTCTACAGAATGAGTTCCAGGACAGCCAAGGATTTTACACAGAGAAACCCTGTCTCAGGAAAAAAAAAGAGATCCTCTAAAGTAGGCTCCAGATCGTAACAGGGCATCACAACCCATAAGCAGTGAGGCTTCTCTTCTGAAGGCTATAGCAACAGATATTCACTTAAAGCAAAGTATGCTGAGGTAGGCCTTCTAGCTCCCTGACAACCTTATGGTATCAGCATGTGACCACTTGAAACCTCTGGCTTTCCAGACCCTCAGACACCAGCCATCTCATTAAAGGCTGGGAAGTAAGGGCAGTCATTCTAACTCACCAGCATACTTGCTCTTCTCTGAGCCACCTTTCTAATTGGAGTCTTTCAAACCAGAAGGAATGCCCACATCCTCCCCCACTCCATCTTCTGTCTGTTCTGCTCCTACTTGCTGCCCCAGTCTCACCAAGATGAGTCATACCCTCCAGGCCTAAACGGTCCTCTCTTCTTCCCCTCCCTTTCTCTCGGTGATGTCCCACCCTGAAAACTCACCCCTCTTCTCTAGTAGCTCTCCAGACTGTCAGGGAAAAGACAGCCTAGGAGTTGGCAGCTTAAAAAGCTCCTGATGTGAATGAGAAATAGGAAACTTGAGTCAGTGGCTACTCAGCCCCTCCCCCCAAACGTTATCTCTCTCTGCCTGTGTTTTTTTTTTTCAGGGAAAAAAAGCAAGTAGGACTGCCAAAGCACCAGGTTTAAATAGGCACTTCCTACCTACTTCACTCTACTAGCTTTGTAACCTGACCTAAGTTCTTGCATGACACCTCTGGGCATCTATTTTCTCACCTATACAATGGGAACATCAGCAGCAAAGTCTCAACTTAGGGGCTATTGTAAAAACACAAGTTCAGCCTGGTCTACAAAGCTACACAGAGAAACCCTGTCTCGAAAAACCAAACCAAAAAAAAAAAAAAAACCATTAAGTGCACATGTGTGAAAAAATGTTTTGTGTAGTTTTGCAATGACAGGTTGAGTACTATTTATTACCTTATTGAAATCTAAGGTTCACCCTTTCTTTATGTGTCCATTACTACCATTCAGCCAATTAAAATTCACCTCCATTCCAGAGATGGTAAAATACAGAGAATGCATGTATTCTCTGCCTGATGAGGGTAGAAATAATCTATGGAAACATGAAAACCTGGAACAAGGAAAGGTCCAAAGAAGGAGGAACTATTGTTACAAACCGTCAGTGGCCTGAAAGATGGGCATCCAAGATTGAGAATGATACTTTGAATTAATTACATAGCACCTTACAGGTTAGGATGTGGCTCAGTGGCAAAATACTACCTAGCATAAGGGAGGCCCTGCATGCTATGGGGGGGTTGGTTACAATAACACCTCAGGAGCATCTAGACTGTCCCATAATTAAGTAAACTAGTATTTCTGTGATTAAATATATCAATATTCACCTCCAGAACAAAGACAATACATCAAGTTATTAAGAACAAAATAACACCCTTCAGTTTTTGAGCAATTTGGATTGTCTGAGTTTTGGACTAAAGCACTAACAAGTACTGTTGAAGTGCTTCTTCCAAGTGCTTCACACAGAGGAACTACCTAAATCCTTTCCTCTTTTTCCAGATTAGGAAACCAAGAGAGACATGAAGTGACTGCTGCTGAGCAGTAGGGCTGGGATCAATCTGGGTCAGGCTGGCAGGCAGCCTCCAAGCTCTACTGTACTCCTACCGGCTCTACTGTACTTACTGCCTTGAAGTGTTTGAGAGTACTAGAGGGATCCTCAGGTCTGAGGATACTAGAAGGCCTGGATCTAAGCAGGTAGACCACGGCAAGACAGAAGTCAAGAAACAATATGGAGAGAATGGATGAAAGAGGGCAAGGTAAGGAAGAGGTGAGAGGACTCCTGGAAGGAGCAAGGGCACTACACCCAAGAGACTGAGCCTTCTATGCGGTGTAGGTGCTGCTTCCTAGAAGATCCTGTGTATATAGAGGGCTTTTCCTCTACCTTGAGCAATACAATTATACTGACTGGATTCCTGTTTGGGATCTTCTAGAAAGATGCCTATATTCCAAACTATCCAAATCACTCTGGGGTGAAGACACTTCTGGAGTATGGAGAGCTCAAGCTTCCTCCAGGTCTTAAGAGTGGAAGCTCACAGAGTAGTGGTGGTGTACACCTTTAATCCCAGCACTCGGGAGGCAGAGGCAGGCTAGGTTGAGGCCAGCCAGAGATACACAGAGAAACCCTGTCTCAAAAAATCAAAAGAGAAAAAAGAGCAAAAGCCTCTCCTCGTCATCAGCATTGCTGCTACAAGTGGACACCCTCAGATGTGCCCTCTGGCCAGCTACTGTTACTTTCCAAACAGTACCTGATAAATACACATTTAGACAGTCAAGATCCAGGGAAGCTAAATCTATCAAGCAGTGAGATTTGTCTACACACAGAATTTGCTGCGCAATGGTGGCACACGCCTTTAATCCCAGCACTCGGGAGGCAGAGGCAGGTGGATCTCTGTGAGTTTAAGGACAGCCTGGTCTATAGAGTGAGTTCCAGGACAGCTAAAGCTATACAGAGAAACCCTGTCTCAAAAGAAAGAAGCTGACCAACACTAAATGTCTGCCATGTCTTACTTTAAGATGTGTTACTTTATGCTAGTTGCTCACCCAGACCCTTTTAAAGCACAAAATTAAAGCACACCCCCCCCAAACCTCCCTGACACAGAGGTAAGACTAATGAGTCATTTCCAGCCAATAGATGATTACTTCCAGGCCTGAATCATTAGTACCTCCCTCTCCAGTCCCTACTACAAAATGTTGACGATCTGACAGTGACCTGAAGGCCCTAAGATACAAGACAGGCACAAAAGGGGAATAAAATTCTAGGGGGTGGGAGTCAGTATTTGAACAAGATAGCCACCAAAACACCCATACTAGAGTGTTCACAAGCCAGGCAAACCTCGTAGACAAGGCATGGTGACACATGTTCGTAATCCTAGCACTGGGAGGGAGAAGTAGGATGATTGTGACCTCAAAGACAACCTGTGCTATAGAGGGAGACTCTGCCTCAAAACAATGTAGACCAACTCCTAATGCATTAAGCCACAAAGATCTGGGGATTATTGATTTTAAAAAAGCTAGCCTGCGGGCTGGACCGATAGCCTCCAAAACAATAAACCAAAAAAAAAAAAAAAAAGCTAGCCTGCATCATGTGCCATCCAGCTTTTCCCCAGGGTAACCTAAAAGTCTAGTTCAGTGGTTCTCAACCATTGTACGGCAGCTAACTTTTAATAGCATTCCTCATGCTGTGGTGACCCCTACCCATAAAATTATTTTCACTGCTACTTTAAGTGTCATCCTGCCAAACCTTCATCCAAGATGAGCCTACATGCTAATTTAGATTTACTGTTTGTGATACAATGACCCTTACCACAAAATGAAAGAACTTGCCTTTTCAGGTGATGCAACCCTATGCCCAGACCACATACATAGCTTTGGAAAGGTTTGTTGCCTGAAGCTCGGGTCCCACTTTCTTTACTGTATGCCCTTATAAAGTCAATTGTGGTGAGCGAGAAGTACTTCAGTGTTCTTTTAACTAGCAGCACGGTCCTGCTGATGTGTCAGGTAAAAGCGCTGATCCCTGCTAAGATGTCCCTATAACACTCAGACCAACAGCTTAGGCTTTCCTCACAAGGAAAACAGAGTTTAGGAACATGGTTTAGGCACAAACACTACAAACACATAGTGGGAAAAGCTGCACATATACCCAGACCCATCTCCTCACCTCTCCCACATACTCCATAACAAAGCTATTTTTGCGGATCTTTTCCAGCGTGCGGACACCCCAGCCTCGCCCATCATTAGTACGGAAGATGCAGAGGTCGTAGCGGATGCCTTTCTGGACTACACGGTTAGGGCAGTCATAGCCACAGCAACATCGGGAGTTACACTCATAGATGGGCTGACCAGCTTTCAGTCGCACTTGGCCTTGGTCATTGTAGGCAAACTTGTGCAGGGATGCTCCAGGGCAACAGCCTCCAGTGGGTGCCAACAGACAGTCCTGGCACTCACAGCCAACAGCCACCTGGTTGAGGGTGATGCCCTCACCAACACGGTACTCATTGATGTAGACAAAGGACCGTGGAGGGCCATCCAGGTCTACCTCATTCTCCACAGTGATGCGTCCTAGGTGACTGCGCTTGGCATTGAGCTCTTGCTCCCAGCGCTGCAGTGCCCGCCTCTGCTTGGCCTTCTGCACCAGGTAGTTAGCTAAGTTTGGGTCCAGATGCCTGGGTGGCTTTGACCGGCGGTGTCGCCGGAGAAGCTCTCTTTCTAAGTCCTTGTGGAACTGCTTGAGAATACGCACGCATTTGAGATTCTGCCGTGGTTCCCAGGTGTTCTCTGAGTCGGGATATCCACGCCACTTAACCAGGTAGTACTCTTGCTCCTGTTAAGAGGACAGGGACAGGAGGGTACCATAAATGTGAGACCCTTGTAGCAATGGAGATCATTCACCCCACCACACTCTAGAATGGTTTCATGCAGTGCCTCTGGAGTAAGAATTACTAAATTCAACTTACACTCACCCTCTTATCTATTGAAATTCGACTTTTCAACCCCCAAGACCACTTCCTCCTCTATATTCCAATGATCTGTAGTTATTCTTGGTTCCTCTTACTCACACTCCTCACTAACGGCATTCAGAATCTGAGCCCTTCACTGCATCAAACATTGCCACTGCAGCCATTCAGCCCTCTGGTAGGTGCCTTTACTGATCCCCCTGCTTCTACCCTTGTTCTTTCAGTTTTCTGCAGTGCCAGGGGAGGGGGACCTTTAATTGCTGGGAATCAGCCGTAGGACAGAGTTTAACATGGCCATCTGTAGCTTCCTGGCTATGTTGCCTTAGGCAAATAAACTATGCCATGTCTGTTACCTCATCTGTAAAGAAGAAAATACAAGTGGGGAGAGGATTATATACATCAGGAAACTGAGGCTGAGTCTGGGGCCAGTCTTTACAACATAGCAAAACCCTGTCTAAAACTAAAGAAAACGAGGAAAGAAGAAACAGTTAATATTTTTTTTCTAGCACTCACTGTGCAGCAAGTATTTTCCTGAGCAACTGACACACCCTAGAACTAATCCTGGCAACTCCAGTTCTCCCCAATTTACAAACACATAAACTGAAGGCTACATTTCAGCTAAGCATGTTGCTTTCTGGCAGTTAACAGTTACCACTTCGGCCGGGCGTTGGTGGCGCACGCCTTTAATCCCAGCACTTGGGAGGCAGAGGCAGGCGGATCTCTGTGAGTTCGAGGCCAGCCTGGTCTACAGAGCAAGTTCCAGGACAGACTCCAAAGCCACAGAGAAACCCTGTCTCGAAAAACCAAAAAAAAAAAAAAAAACAGTTACCACTTCGTCCTGCATTAACAGAGTTTCAAAAGTTCCTAGTGTGCATAAGTAAGTAAGTATTGCCGTCTTTACTTTCACTCCAAGGTTCAGAATCTCAATCTCTGTATTCCGGCAAGTACAAGTGGAAAAGACATTCATTTGAGGAGTCATTCTACCTATTGTTCTGAGAAAGTCACTTGATTTCCTTGCCTGTAAAATGGAAATAAGCAGCCTCCAAAACAATACAGAGAAACCCTGTCTTGTAAAACCAAAAAAAAATGGAAATAAGACAGTCAATTCATCCCATTTTAGCCAGGTGAAAATCCTCTTTGTAAAGAGATGTGGGGGTTGGGTGGAGAAGAGGGTCCCCTGCCAGGGCAGTCTCACATATCCCCACCAGACTTACACGGATCTTCTTATAATCACACAGGTACTCGACTTCAAAGTCATAAAGATTCTTCTTAGAAACACCAAGGGCAGGACAAGAAAGCTTGGCCAGTCGGCACAGATCCTGAAGCTGATTCCAGGATGATTTGCAACATACTCTGCAGCCTGGAATGAGAAGGCCTAGGAGTCACAAAAAATTTAATCCACAGGCCTTAACCAATGCTAAGACCCTCTGAACAGGAACATGCCAGTTCCTTGAAGCCTTATGCTCAATGCCCAGGGCAACTCCTGGAGAGCCTGCCTACCATGCAGTCACCCCACCCTTCTTTCCCTAACATGGAAGAGTCCAGTTCTCCTATGAGAGAGGACACATTCAATCTTCTACTCCAAATCCTGCCCCCTAACCCTGGAGCTTGTGGCTTGGACGGTTGTAAAGTGATCTAGAGACTCCCAGAAGACCTAAAACTGCCTGCAAACTTGCCTTAAATTCAAAACCTAATCACCCCTCTTCCCACTTTGCAAAAGAAAAGACAACAGCTTCCTAGCTCTGTAGGGTGCAGTGTCTAAAGGTGTGAGGGGGGGTAGGATGAAATCCCCAGGGCACCAAACAGAGGTGTTAACTGTGAAGCCTGGTCTTCAATCACTTAGCTAAAACTCCTGGGCCACATCCATTTTGGAATTCAAAAATTTGAGGATTTAAAAAAATGTAATCTTAGGCACTGCAGTAGTGGCGTGTACATCTTTAATCCCACCATTCGGGAGGCAGAGGCAGGTGGATCTCTGAGTTTGAGGCCAGCCTGGTCTACAGAGCGAGTTCCAGGACAGCCTCCAAAACAATACAGAGAAACTCTGTCTCAGAAAACCAAAAAAAAAATTAATTTTAGACACATTCACAGCAAGGTCTGGGGCATCAAACCATCCATAATCAAACACAATAATAGCAAACACATCTACAGAAAAGCCTGAATTTTCTACATTAAATATCCTCACTGAGGGCTGGAGAAATGGCTCAGCCGTTAAAGGCTAGGCTCACAACCAAAAATATCCTCACTGAATAATCCCACTTTGAAGATCTCCTTTTGTACCAGCTGGTGGTGCTGCCAGCACTCAGAAGGCAGAGAAAAGCAGATCTCTTGAGTTCGAAGTCAGCCTGGTCTACAGAGCAAGTTCTAGGACAGCCAAACCCACACAAAAAAAAAAAAACCTGTGGTGGGTCATGCCTTTAGTTCCAGTACTCCAGAGGCAGAGGCAGGCAGATCTCTGTAGGTTCGAGACCAGCCTGGTCTACAGAGCGAGTTCCAGGTCAGGCTCCAAAGCTACACAGAGAAACCCTGTCTCGAAAAAACAAAAAAAGTACACATGCAACACATGCACATACAATAGTAATAAATTATAAAGCATCGGCCGGGTGGTGGCGGTGGCGCACGCCTTTAGTCCCAGCCCTTGGGAGGCAGAGGCAGGTGGATCTCTGTGACTTGGAGGCCAGCCTGGTCTACTACAAGAGCTAGTTCCAGGACAGGCTTCAAAAGCCACTGAGAAACCCTGTCTCGAATCCCTTAACCCCTCCCCCAAAAGAGAGAAAACCTGTCTTGAACAAACAAGATTTCTTTTTGCCGTGATTAGTGACAAGTTTAAGAAAAACACTTCTATTTTCAGGGCTTTTTGGATTTTTGAAATTATAAAGATTGTGGGAAGGTGTTAAATTCAGTCGGGTGTAGTAGTTAATGCCTTTAGAACCAGCAGTTGATAGGCAGGGGTTCGAGGCCAGCCTGATCAACACAGTGAGACCCTATCTCGGAAAAACAAAAAAGATGGAATAGTACTGAGCGCTTCCTTGACTTAGGACTATTTCATACACCCAAGGTCTATTTTTCTAGAGCGCATTATCACTTGCTGTCTCATCCCGTATCTCCGTGAAAAGTACAACTCAATCCAAAGGGCTCTGCGCTCAATTCAGGAACATGTAAACAGTACATATGGTAAGTCAGTGACACGACGGTCTCCAAAACTGTTCAAGACAAATGGACTTAAAATATACAGTTTTCCTTCAAAGAATCCATTATGTGCTTTCAAAGCCGTTTTAAAAAAAAAATCACATGTCACAAAACACCTGATGCTAACTGCATGCTGTCGCTATCCAATGCCGTCTTTTGAAAATGCTGAATATTTCCTGCCCCATTATACAACTCAACCCTAAAACAATCCTAATGGAATAAAGACAATAGGTCGTTCACATAAAAACAGACACTTTAAAATCACTGCGTGTGCACCCATCCTTTAGCCAAGGCCCAGCGAAACTAAGCCTTCTCCTCCGAGGCCTTTGCGTTCCCAAAGCCTTTAACCTGCTTTTGTGAAAACCCTCGGAAGTGGCCCCCGATAAAATTCCCAGCATCTGGCTGCGCACTACGCACAGCTGTACTCGGAGCTGCGGCTCACACTTGTGGAATCTATTCTCACGGCTCTACTCGCTGCCGAGGAGCCCGCCCAACCCGCAGTCACCCCTCTTTTCCTGCACATGGAGGAGTCCAGCCCTCCTATCACCGAGGCCCCCACTCCCTCTTCTGAGGAGGATCTTCTCCCCTGAACCTTGCCCCCTCACGCCGATATCCTTCCCCACCTAGAGTCGCCGGTTCCCCCATTTTGAGAAGAGGGTCCGTTCCCCTTCTGCCTCCCCTTCCGGCGTCTCCCGTGGAAAGCGAAAGGGTAATGGTCACCGGGAGCCGCTTTTCCCGCGTGTGGTCGCAACCTTCTCCTCAGGACTCTCTCGCGCGCGCGCAGGAGCGCGCCGGCCGT